TAGAATGTGACGAGGCAACACTCCGCAGATTCCTCTGTGAAGGGTCTTCCTGAACAGCCAGCTTCCCCAGGGGCACACTTTCAGTAACAGGCTTGGCTAGAAGGCGGTCTCCAAATTAGTAACGTCTATGTCTAGGGGGTGGGGCCTAGGCGTAGTTTCTTGGACAAGGCATGCATTTTCACAATGAGCATGTACCTGTTTTACAAAACCATTGACACATTCTGGGGCGGTGTGCACATTTTGATTCTTAAAGGCAGGTATCAGTAAGCTCTTACTGTCAAGAGCCATATGGTAAATGCTGAAGGATTTATGGGCCAAGAGGCGGGATTGGGGCTATTGTGTAGGCAATAACATAACGAGGACATACATTTCCACGAATTTTTTATTCACAAAGTTTTACATATGATGAGGATAAAGTACAGACAGACTTTGAACCACAACCTTTAGGTTAGTGGTAGAGGACAAATAGTCCAGGGATGCTATAACAGAGAGAGAGCAGTGGGTGGCTTTACCAAAAGTACATAAAGCTATTCTCCCACAGTTTGTTGTTGGGTGGTTCTGACTCATAGTGACCCTCTGTACAGCAGAGCGAACCCTGCCCAGTCCTGCTCCATCCTCACAGGTGTTTCTATGCTTCAGCTCATGATAGCCTCTATGTCCAGCCAGCGGGTTGAGGGACTTCCTCTTTTTCAATCTCCCTCAGCTTCACCAAGCATGATGTCCTTCTCCAGGGACTGGTCTCTCCTGACAACATGTCCAAAGTCCGTGAGATGAAGTCTCCCCATCCTTGCTTCTAAGGAGCATTCTGGCTGTTCTTCTTCCAAGACAGGCTGGTTTGTTCTATGCTAGTCCATGGGACCTCCCGTAGTCTTCACCAGCATCGTAATTCAAACACATCGATTCTTCTTCCCTCTTCCTTATTCAATGTTTAACTTTCACAGGCATATGAAGCAATTGAAAATATCAAGGTTTGGGCCAGGAAACCTTCGGCCTCAAAGTTACATCCTTGCCTTTCAACACTTTAAAGAGATCTTGTGCAGCACACTTACCCAATGCAACACATCTTTGATCTTTTTACTGCTGCTCCCATGGGCATTGTCTGTGGATGCAAGCAAGACAAATTCCTTGACGTCAATCTTTTCTCCATTTATAATGATGTTACCAATTATTGATCCAGTTGTGAGGATTTTAGCCTTCTTTACATTGAGTTGTCATCAATATTGAAATGTTGCAATCCTAGATCTTCATCAGCAAGTACTTCAAATCCTCCTCACTTTCAGCAAGCCAGGTTGGGTCATCTGTGAATTACAGGTTAATAAGCCTTCCTCCTATCCTGTGAATTGCAGGTTAATAAGCCTTCCTCCTATCCTGCGAATTGCAGGTTAATAAGCCTTCCTCCTATCCTGTGAATTGCAGGTTAATAAGCCTTCCTCCCATGCCAGTGTCTTCTTCATAGTGTCTGCTTCTCTGATTGTTTGCTCAGCATACAGATTGAATCAGTACGGTTAGAGGATGTAATCCTGTCCCCATAGCTTTCTTGATTTTTGTTTGTTTGTTTGCTTTCTTGATTTTTAAACCAGGCACTATTCCCTTGTTGTTTGAACTGCCTCTTTATCCATGTACAAGTTCCACGTGAGCACATTGAAGTGCTTTGGAATTCCCATTCTTCTCAAGGGCATCCATAATTTGTTATGATCCACACAGTTGAATGACTTTACACAGATAATAAAACACAAGTAAACATCTTCCTGGTATTCCCTGCTTTTAGCCAAGGCACATCTGACATCAGCAACCATATCCCTGATCCAAGTTCTCTTCCGAATCGGGCCTGAACCTCTGGCAGCTCTTGTCAGTGTACTGCTGCAACTGGTGTTGGATGATCCTCAGGAAAATTTTACTTGCATGTGATATTAATATTGTTCTATAATTTGAGCATTCTTGGAAAACACTCCTAAGGGCCCACAAACAGTCCTTGAACTAACTACAAGCTTTTCTTTTTTGTTGTAGTTGTGTTGTGTTTTGTTTTGCTTGTCATCGGCTTTTTGTTGTTGTTGTTGATTTGTTTTCTTTTGTTTCTTGGTTTTGCTCTGTCTTGTTTTTGTGCATGTTATTATCTCTGTGGGTCTACCTAAATAAGGTAGACTGGATGAATAATCTGGAGGAGAAAACAACGGGACCAACAGTTCCGGGGAGACATGGGAGAGGGAAGTGGGAGGAAAGGAAGTGGTGTTAACAAACCCAGGGACAAGGGAACAAGTGATCCAAATCAATGGTGAGGAGGGTGTAGGAGGCCTGGCAGGACGTGATTAAGGGTCATATAACCAAGAGGAATTACCGAAACCCAAATG